GTAAGATTTTTTTTTAATTTGGATAGATAACCATTCGGATCATTCACTCTATTCTAATGACTGTATCTTGTTTGATATAGCTTCTTATATGTATCGTGCCATGTCTAGCTTGGAAAAGGGGCTGTTTTGTCATGCCTATATTACGGATTGTAAGGGTAAAACTTTATTCGACAAAGGTATGATGGACTGTTCCGATCCTTGTTTAGTGACGAAACGTGATGATATTCCAGACGATGGTCCATATTGTTCTCATTTGATCGTTCATGAAGATTTGTCGACTCCTGGCCAAGCGAAATACCTCAAATTTGAAGCAAATGAATGCGCTCAAATAGATGGTAACTTTAAAAGTTGGACCTTTAAGGAAGTAGCATGTCCTAAAACATATCCAAAAGCTTGTAAACCAATTAAAATACATTAGAATCTATTTCAATCGTTTATTCATTTATTCATTTTTATCATTTTATTCAATAAAAAAAAAAAATATTCATTTATAAATTAAAAATGTAATTCTTTCTATTTTTGTTATAATATTAATAAATTAATGACCAATAAAAATCACACGATATTCGAATATGGATCGATCTTCAATAGGATAAAATTACTTTGCGATAAGTGATGTACAGTAAACGTCTCATTTTAAGTCTTTGATCATCAATAGAAAAGAAAATAATGCAAAATTCATTATTCTGGCGTAAAAATAAAAAAAAAAAAAAAAAATCACAATATGAAAACATAAAGATATAAGGCATTTTGTTATTCTATAGCGATTGTTTTATCGTCATCTGGATGAAATTCTTCGAATTGGAGGTGGTCTACGATCGGGAATCTAAAAAAGGTCAAAAAAAATAAATAAATACAATAATAATACATTAATAAAATAGGAATGTTTTATAAATACTGCAAAAAAAAACAGACAAATTTTTGTTTCTTCTATCAGACAGATGAGATGATTCACTTTTTATACAATCTTTTTTTCTTAAATTATTAATAATTCGTGTCGTACATCAACGAAGCTAATTTTATTCGAGTTGAATTACGTATAAAAGAGCATGACGTATCAAACTATATAATTTGTTTATATAACACGAGAAATGTCTATTTTACAAATTTTTTTTTTCATCGATATAAAGTCAATTATTTTAAGCTATTTATTAAATAATATATTGAAGTCAATTTACAAAATTTATTATTAATTATTCGCTGTCCAATCTTTTTTTTTTTTTTAAAAAAAAGAAAATAAAGTGTTAAAATTTTTCATTTATGAATTGAATTATTTAAGTATAACGTCAACAATTCCAAGAAGATTAGGTAATTTACGATTTTCTAAATTAGTTTCTCCACACTCCTTGTATTACTTCTGCCAATCGTGATACACGTATCCATGTGATTCTTTTCTATTAGTGTGCCTATCAATTAAATTTCTTGCAGATCCTTGACTTACTCCAAGTATTCCTGCTAGTCGTCATAATACAATAGCGACAATTGAACTTCGTCCAACGACTCGGAAGGGCCCCTCGGCCAGACAAGGGGAAGGAAGGTATTTTATAAATAGCAATTTATTTCCATATAGGAGGCATCTGAAAAAAAGCTAGATGCATTTCTAATCGAGTTACAATGGTGCGAAAGTTGTACGAGTAACGCGAAAATATCTTCGTAAAGAATTATAACTTTCTCCATCTACTAAATATGGAAAATATCTGTCCCAAACCCATCAGTTTTAGGTCTTGGTTGATTTTGCAATCTTGTATTAGGTGGGAGAAAAATAAATGGAATAGTTTCGTTCATTGTGACATAATTAAAAACTAAAAGATGATCTTTGCATGTGACATTCTAATACTTTTTATTTTCTGTAAGAAATTGCAACATAAAGAGTGGGATAAAATCTGGCTGGCGATGGTTTCGAATATCCATAATGTAATAAAAAAGCGATCTTTTTGGTTACTTAAATTTTTAGCCAATCTGTGTATAAAAGATGGCCAGACTTAAATGATCATCGTTCTTGATTTTTTAAATCAATCAGATTGAGGAAGGTGCTGAGAACGGAACATACCTCCCTCAATGTAATTGGCTGGTGATTGATGAATGCTTAAGATCACGACCAATTGAAATGAAGATAAATCTTTCAATATATAACTTTCTGTCGTTCTTCTATCAATTTTATTATTACCACCTCTAAAAAAAAAAAAAAAAGAAACCGACCCTAAAACTTAGACTTCTGCTTGTGCTCCTCCTCATTTACCAACTGAACATATTTCAGCAACAGCAATATCCTGTTACACAACTTTTAAATCGTTATTCTTTGCATCGACACTTTTTATTTTTTACGGGGTTTGTAACATTAGGATAATAAACTTCTGGCGATGGTCTCAAATATCTATTGATAATGTAATAATGTAAAAAAGTTAAGTGGAAAGTGAAAGAGAATCCTTTTTGGTTACTCTATTAATAGAAAATTTAGTCAATTTGATTTTTTAAGCTAATAAGATATTTAATAATCATGGAGGGTTGCTTTAGAACGGCTTCAATTAGCAAATTTGGCTATTTACATACAGTACATAATACGCTCTTATAATTCGAATATGACATACTTCGTAAACAAATAATGTATTTAATTAGGGTTTTATTACATTGCCAAAATTATTCAAAATTTTATGATTTTATTTTAAATTTTGTCCTTTTATTACTTTTAACTTCGTTTTTTGACTTTAATAAATTAATTTCCCTACCCTATTATAAAAATATTCTCCTTTTTCAATACAAATCCCACTTTTACTAATTTAAGTATCCCGAGTCTCCATACAGGAAATTAAAAAATCTCGAATTTTGACGCAAATGACTCTTCATGTAAAAGAATGCTTGCTTAATCAACACTTTCTAATCTCTAAATATATGACGGTTTTCTGTATGAATAACTAGCCAATGACTATAATTAGCGCCGCCAATGCAATTACAGTGAACAAAAACTCGGTACCTTTTTTTTTTGCGTGGGTGTATGTTTAGTTTACCAGCCGAAGCTCAACGCATGCCTCCTAAGGCCCCGAATGATATTTTCCCGAATCTTTATTTCCCATCGCGAAAATTTTCATAATTAATTTACTCAAGTTATATAAAATGTCCTTTTCAGATTATTGGGAGATAAATAGGAAAGTTTCAGGAAAGTGTCCAGTTAAGGAAATTGGAGTTCGGGAAATTTACTTCGGAAAATGTATATACGGAAGTCGTACTGTTATTGGTTAACCAATATAAACATGCTCAGGAACTGCCACAGCGATCTTTTGATCATATTGAACACGGACAATAGCAAAAAAAAATTCTTGTTTAACCAAAAAAATAAATCATTGCCAAGGGACTTTTTGATTATTTTAGTTTTGGGATATACTTATGGCGGATCGAATAATGCAGGTTGATGAAAGTTTAAGAGGGTCAAGACAATTCTGGAAAGCAAGATGAAGCGAGTTGTCAGACATGATAAAACAGATAGGATCTGAAAGGATGGTATTTGGATGGGGCGTCTTTTCCGAAAAAAAAATCTTGTACCCTTTTCTTTTCTCTTCGGCTGGATTCATTAAAATGTTATTTCATTAAATTTTTTTTATTAGTTCTTTCACAAAATTTTGTTCAACGTCTAATAAGTGGCGTGGAATTAGTTTAATTAACCATTGTTATTGTTTATTATATATGAACCTGGACGAGTTTAAGAAAAACAGGAAGAAGCATTCAAGTCCGAGTATGAATACGTCTATAGGTGAGAAATTTTTTGGCGTTTATTACTGCTTCCTTGACTAATTCGTCAAATATCTACTTATCTCCCGAAATTTGCTTTTCAACTCGGCAATTACCACCTCAAAAGGATAATGCTTAGTATTGCAGTTTTGAGGATAGTCACGTAATGTATTTCGCTTTAACGACATTTATTACATTAGCAAGAATCTTGCTAATTAAAGACGCCCTCGATAATGCGCAAGAATGTGAAGAAGATTTAGTAGTAATAGTGAGTTCGTTAAAGATAGGGTGAGCTAGTGATGAACTTGAATCTAAGAAGTGTCGTATAAAAGAAAAATAAAGAACGTGTGTAGTATCTAGTTGAGGCTCTAAAGCGCGTGTCAAAAGTGATGATAAATTATAACGCAAAATACCCACATCCTCTAAACCTATATATTTTTGGTATATTGAAGCTGTGATCGTGAATGTATTTTCATTGTCAAACCAATAATTTATAGATTACTAAATACTGTATAACCAAATGAATTGCTCATTTACCAATTGCGAAATGTAATCAAAGTTCTTTCTTTATTTGCAATACATTGAATGAATGCAAAGTTCGGGAACATAACTGGATAAATGACGAAATTTCTGTGCTAATGGTGGCGGACTAAAATACAGGTTTTCCAACTCGAATAAAATTACCAAAACATCTCTTACATTCCCAGTGAAGGAAATATTCCTTAACTTAATCCATGTAAATTTTGCAATAGAGATATCCTAACCTTTCAATTTTCGGAATTCACCATATTGACGTGGCACATATTTTCCACATGGCTTAATTGTAATCCCTTCTGGAGTTGGGTAACCAGTTTTATTGGTCGAAGCACTTTGACTGGAACCAGTACCTTATCCAGAAAGTGTGGAACTTTTGCAGCTGTTACCAAGGAATCTTCTGGTTCACATATACAGAGTGTGCCAGCGAAAGCTGCGTTTGCGAGAGAGAAGGAAACTGAGGAAAAGGCTTGTAAGTGTTCTCAGTAAATATATGCTGCATTCGTTATGGTGAAAAGTTGGAAATTATTTAATACATGCAAATAAACAAATTAAACTGAAAAATCAAGACATTCGAAGGATTTAAAATATATATATATATTTTTTTTGATATTTTGAAATATTATTCTTTTAGTTAATTATCTTTTTATTCTCGATCTAGCTTCCAAGTTTTAAATTGGGGTCATTTGTAATGTACACAATGCAAGTATAAAAATATACGTTACATTTGTTTTCTCCTCAAATTACAAATTGTCGGAACAATGTTTTCCCAAATTAAGTCAAAATTATATTGAATTTTTGGAAGATAACGAATATTATGAGTATATAGATAACATGTAATGTATGATGACCTATGTATGTATGTATGTATCGTGACCAATGTATGCCGATGTATGGTGATCGGCTCATCAGGCTATTTCGGCAAATAAGATAAGTATGGTGTATGACCGTATGGTGAAACATTCGGAATATTTTTTTTTTTTATTTTTTTTTTAATCTTTTGTTAGCTCAAAAACTTTGGAACAGTTTTGTTCAAAATGTCAAGGTAGGCGTTTTTTCGTTCAAATTTCTTTTCTTTTTTGTTTCTTAATCCATTACTAACTCCC